TGTTTTTGTGTGTGTCCTTTCAATTTTTCTCTGCAAATGTTCACTCTGAATGTACTCAAATGCTTTTATGTTTTTATATTAAAAATTAAATTGTTCCACATAGCAATATTTTGATAAACTTCTGCAATTGAACCATACAGATAACAAGGTAGTGATGGTTGCTGAGTGTATAAAGTTGCACATCAGAATTCAGATTCCATGTGTCACTGGTGAGTACTCCAAAAATAAATGGTGTTATTTTGAAATGGGTATAGACAAAGCATTCAGATGCATATTTACACTGTTTTTGTGTGTGTCCTTTCAATTTTCCTCTGCAAATGTTCACTCTGGATGTACTCAAATGCTTTTATCTTTTTATATTAAAAAATAGCAATGTTTTGATAAACTTCTGCAATTGAACCATACAGATAACAAGGTAGTGATGGTTGCTGAGTGTATAAAGTTGCACATCAGAATTCAGATTCCATGTGTCACTGGTGAGTAGGTCAGATCTGGAATAGCACTGATAGCGTTGGCTTCCCATGACCCTGCATTTTACAGGTAGGGTAACAATTTTCTTTTGCAGAAAAGGCAGATGTTCTTCTCCTGCGTGCTGCTCTGCCATCGCATTTCCATCTTCAGCTCTCTGAAATAGAATTCCATGAGATTATTGGCTCAGGTACTAGAAATAAGAGTACATCCATTTTTACATGTCTGATACTCACAAGAAATATCTTTATACTTATTTATTTTAAATCATTTTAGGTTCTTTTGGAAAAGTATACAAAGGACGATGCAGAAATAAAATTGTAGCAATCAAACGGTAGGTTTCTCAAACCGTTCTCCATTTCGTTTTCTTAATGCTGTAGTTTGAGGTATTTGAAAGATGACATTTTTGCCCTGCTGTTTTCTCCTCCCGTAACTGCGAAGCTACCGCGCCAACACCTACTGCTCCAAGTCGGACGTGGACATGTTTTGCCGTGAGGTCTCCATTCTCTGCCGACTGAACCATCCCTGTGTCATACAGTTTGTTGGAGCCTGCTTGGACGACCCGAGCCAGTTTGCCATAGTCACGCAGTATATTTCTGGAGGATCACTCTTTTCCCTGCTCCATGAACAGAAAAGGTATCTTAGCCATGCTTTGCGTGTCCAGAATTCTGAAGATTAGTAAATCTGTGTCAATGCAGATTTGTTCCTTATCAATGAAGAGTGAAAGGAACACTCAATAAAATTTATTTCTTTAATTCACATTATTTGGTATACAAGGGAAAATAGTAACTAATGACAGTAATTATTTGGTTGTTATTATTTTACAGTAAATATTTTTATATTACATATATTATAAAACATTCTTTTGTATTCAAGATTTTTAAAGGGACCGTGATTTACAGATAATTTTCAGTTTGTCTGTAAATTTTGAGTAATGTTATAATTGTTTCAAATTCTAGGACTCTTGATCTTCAGTCTAAATTAATCATTGCTGTAGATGTTGCCAAAGGCATGGAGTATCTTCACAACCTCACACAACCAATCATACACCGTGATTTGAACAGGTAAGTCCCTCTCTTCTGGAATTTGGGGGCGTTGAACGTTGCATGAGGTGTGTGTGCTGCTCGCTCACATTAGCTGCCTGTCAGACCGGTGCAGTGGGGCTGGATAAATCCCAGTCCTGCTGGATAAATCCCAGTCCTGCACGGGCAAAGCGGTGGGAGAGTCTGCGCCAGAGCCGGTTCCCAGGTCCCCTCTCTGGTCTGGGAGCCGCTAACGTCGCTTCTCCTAGTTACACACTGCGAGAAATCCCCTTCGCTGAACTCGCTGCTAAAAACGACAAGATCTCCTCACATCTGGCCCTCCAGTGTTGAACTGTTGCTCGAAAAAGGAAACAAATTATCTACTGACTGGAATGTTGTTGTGCCATGTCTACATCAGAAATCACTTAGACTCACCATTCTGCGATACTTTCTGCTTTGAAAGTGGATTAACCAAAATTATATATAGACATACTAAACAGGAGCAACTAAACAAGGGGAATTAGTGCTGAATACCTGTTGCACTCTCTTGTCACATTAGTTTCCTTGGAAATAGTTCCTCATGCATACAAGCGGCATGATATGAAACCTTATACAGAAAAAAAGTTAAAAAAATTAGGAAGAGAGTTACAGAATGGGTGTTCTTCAGAGTCAGACATACATATCTTCTTTTTCCCACATTTTTTCCATTTTAATCAATAATTCCGTTACTTATTTTAATTAAAATTTCAGAAATTCTCCTTTCTGTTTGTCTCTCCAGTGACTGTAGTACAGAGTTCCGATCCTATAATAAGAAATTTTCTCCTGCATCTTGCCCTAAGGTTTCATTTCTTGGTGGTGCTGTTAGCTGCATTGGGAGATTCCTGGTGAAAGTTATTCTTTCTTTTTGGGTATGTAGGTTTTTCCCTTCGCTAGTTGAAGGAGTAAACTGGTTATGATGCAGTGCACAGTGCAGAGCACTGGTAGCAAATTCTGAGAAAAAAAATAGGGCAGAGGCATTTTCTGGAAATGGTCATTGGGACTTTCCATGAACAATGTGGTTTTCACACGTGAAGAGTTCTGTTCTGCTTGCTTGTTTCAAGTGTACCTGAGCTGACAGCACTATACAAGGGACCCCAATAAAGCAAGGGTTTCCAAATAGGATATTTCACTTTAAAAATGGGAGTTTTCCTGGGATTCAAAAGTACAGCATGAACAAGATGAAAATGTGAGAACAGTCATAGGGTGTCAAAGCAGGACCCCCAAAGGTGGTGTCCTGTCTCTGGCAGTGGCCCACAGGGGCAAATCTGAGAGCCAAGCATGGGTATAATGATGAATTCTTGGATTCTTTCCCCAGCCCCAAAAGCTTTTGGTCAGCAGCTCCCTTGCAAGACTGGCATAAATGCTACCCACTGGTTTCCAGGAAAAGCCTCCTTTCCTCTGGAAATAGCAGCCTTTCCTTGTGAGATAGATACTTCACTCAAACAGGCATTTTTTAAAAACAAATACCTGCTCTTGAAGTCAAGTTATGATGCTAAAGTCAAATGTTTTGTTTAACTAAAGAATGATCCTAGTTGTGCTTAAGAAAGGAAAAACATCCCTGCAGACTGAAAAGAAAATCAGGCCATTAATGCCTAGAGGCTGTTGTTTTTTATTTTAGTTTGGAAAACAGTCATACAGATCCATCTTCTGGGAGTGATGTGCTGCACGTTAGCGAAACAGGCCCCAGTTCTGCTCTATACCGGGTGCCCAGATTTTATCTCGCCCTGCTCTGCCCGCGTCCCGCGCGTGCCAGCGCCTCCGTGGGAGCACGTGCAGACCCCTGGAACGGGCACCCGCTGCCGGCCGAGGTTCGGGTGCCCCCGGCCCCGGTCCCCCT